TGAAGGGCGCCTGGGACGCAAAGTCCGCCTCCACTCGCCGGAAGGACAGCTGCATGACGGCCAGGGCCAGCAGGCTGTTCTGGACGCCCACTTCGATGCTCACGGTTTTCCTCTGCGGCAGAGCCAACCTGGCGGTTCTGGCAAGGCCGGCGCCGACCAGGAGGCCCAGCAAAGGCACCGTCACCCCGACCGCCACGATCTGGGGCTGCACGTTGGCCAGGATGGACGCGCCCATCTGGTAGGCCATGAAGATGCCGCCGACCATCAGCACGAAGCTGAAGGGCCGGATGAGCACCAGCAGGACGCGGGTGAGAGCCGGGAGCCGCAGCTTGATCACCATGCCCAGCGAGATGGGGATGGCGATGAAGAGGAGGGTGCCCAAGATCTTCACGAAGGGGACGTGGAGAGCGGCGTGGACGCCCAGCAGCCTGCCGTACAGAGCCGAGGACAGAGGCATGGCCGCCGTGGCCACCACCGTGGACACCAGCGTCATGGAGATTGCCAGTGTGACGTCGCCCCCCAGCAGCAGGCTGTAAAGGTAGCCGCCGCCGCCCCCCGGGGCGGAGCAGGTGATGACCAGGCCGAGGGACAGCGCGGTGGGCAGCGACAGCAGCCGGGACGCGCAGTAGGCATACAGCGGCATGACCAGGAACTGGGCCAGAACCCCCAGCAGCAGCGCCATCGGGCGGCGCAGCAGAGCCCGCAGCACCTCCACCTCCACCTTGCAGCCGAAGGCACACTTGTTGACGAAGATGAGGGGCAGCAAGGCGAACAGCACCGGGTTCTCCGTGAAGTGGGACAGGCCCCCGGACTGCAGCTGCCGGGTGGCCGCGTCGGCCTCGCCGGGCTCCACTCTGATCAAGTAGTCCGTCCTCTCCTCGATCAGAACCGGAACCGAGTCCCGGTCCCAGTCCAGCAGCTGGATCTGCAGCGGCGCCCGGCCCGGGAAGCCCGAGCGGATGCTGATGATGAAGCTTCCGGCCGGTCCTTCCCGGCCGCCGGCCGTCACATTCAGGACGGAGAGGACCTCCGGGTCCAGAGACCGAACCCTCACCGTCTGCTTCCGGCTGGAGCCCCGGTACCGACTGGAGATCACGATCACTCCTTCGGTGTTTTCCGGAAACTCAAATTCCTGCGCCGATCCGTCCCCGATGGAGATGTAGCCGGAGTGGTTCGTCCGGCTGGAGTCGGTGCTGCTGTCCACGGTCAGGTTGCCGGTGGCCCAGGTCCGGTTCGGTCCGCCGATCAGGAGCAAACAGAGAGTAAAAAGCGTCCTCATCGCAGTGGCGGCCAGAGGGCGGAGGGGCGCCGCAGAAACACGCGTCGGCCCCGCCAGGGCGCTCCGCAGGCGGCTACACCGCCGCCCGGATCAGCCGGCACGCCGAACTTCTCATTCCTCTTTTCGGTACAAAAGCTCCGCGTCGTCGGCCGCCTCCTCGTCTTGTCTGGTTCCCATTTTCGTACCGCCTTTATACCGGACCCGAAGCATCACCCCGCCCTGTCCGGCCCTGGCGGAGCCCAGCTGCACCGCGGCAGCTCCGGGAATCCAACCCACAACCGGCCGGTTGGTCTTCAGTCCGAAGGAAGAACCGCAGCTTCGCCTCTTGCGCTCATTTTTTCTCCAGAAAGACGAAAAGCGATTGAAAAAAGAATGAAAACGGACGCTGCAGCCTTCTGCCGAGGCGTGACGTCAAGCTGGTTAATGGAAGATGCAGACTTCCGCTTAGCTTTGCCAAAGTAAAAGCCTGAGATGAGCTAACGTCTCATCTCAGGATGAGATAAAATGGGAGTATTGACAGGAACCCTATCATTAATCAAAATGGACTCCAGCTCTTCTCTCGCTCTCATTCTTCATTTATTGCTTTTAAAAATTAGGAGTCCTTCATCATTTTTGGGAACACGAGTGTGAATCTCGTGTTCCCACTATGGGATGTTATCTTCGAGTTTTCACCTGATTATTATGAGTTTCCAGACTTAGACTGGATCACAGTGATCCAGTTAGAAAATTACATCAATCATCTGCAAGAAATTCAGCTTCAGTGCCTCCTGGTTATTCAGAGTGATGTTTAGTGACCAAAGTTCACATTTGGTTCGTTAAGACCAGAACTAGTTCCAAACAATGTTTGATTAATATCTCAGGTGGAATAAATGCCCATTAATAGGCTTTTATTTTTGAAAGAAACTTCCTCTCCTCCACTGTAACCATGACTACCCTGATGGTCCATGGAGCTGCGCTGCGTCAGCAGGGGCGGTCACGTGACCACAGCGGCGGTCACGTGATCGCCACCTCCTTTATTTACAGCGAGGAAAATAATGGAGGAAAAACCAAAGCCAAGTTGAGTCCTTCACAGCAAAATCAAAAGTGTTCAATTTCCCTGCAGCCTGGATCAGAACCAGAACCTTTACCGAGTCAACTTTTCTTTCTAAAGTTTTGTAGAAGAGTTAATTCAACGGTCGTTTAGTCAAATTTGAGTGAATTTTCCTAAAGAGTTGGTGTTATTCCAGAGAGTGAAATCAAAACAACTTTGTCTGGTGTTGATTTCTAAATTAACAGCAGACAGTTCCTTCCACAAGTGTGACGTATTTGCCTGAGTAGCAGGAAAACACGTTTATTTTCATTTATTTGCTCCTTTTCTGTTCAATTTTGGAAAAGCATTTGCACTATGATTTATTGTTCCAACCCCGCCTGATGGATTTATTCTTCCATTTCATTTTCTCCCTATTTTCTTGAACATGTATTGTTTGGCCTCACTGACGACCCAATAACCAAACAGCACATTTTTAGTTTATTAATCTTACTATATTCATTCACAAATCCTGTTACACTAATGAAAAACTACTTCTTTCTATTTTTGAAAATGAGTTCAAACAACAGATCAGACCTATTGAAAACTCCACCAATACTAAACCTATGATGCTCTTTGTGTTCTCTCTTTAATGTATTTCTATAATGTTATGGTGATATAGTCTCTCCTGGCAGACATTATACCACAATGCATGCTATGTTTGTACTGTTATGTATTCTGTATCTCAATAAAGATCTATAAAAAAAGGTGAGTTAAAATTATCATGTTTTTGATTTTTTTAATGGATGCATTACAGCCATGGGCAAAGGGGGGGGTGGGGGTGAGGGGGCGCTTGCCCTTTTATTCTTTATGCCCCTCGTGCCCTTTTTGAGTTTTTTGATCTGTCATATTCTTTTTATTGTTATTAAAGCTACAGACGACTTTACTCCAGTTTTGAGAAATTAGTACGTAGCTAAAGCAGAAACTGTTGACGTGTATAAAGTTGTACCTGCATTCAGACAGACTTTGGCTAAGTGCATTACCCACAATTCATTGCTGCATGTGACTTTTGAGTTAAAAGGTGGACTTATAGGAATTTGTTTTTCATCTTTATTGAAAAGTCAAAGAAAGTGAAAATAGTATGAGAAGTAACCAAAACTTTAATATGATAAATAAATAGATAAAAATAGTCACTGTGAAAAAAGTGAAACAGAAAATGTTACACATGCAGGAAAAATCAGTTTCACAAAGGTGGGAATTTGTCTTGCATTTGAAAGTTTGACTTTCCTCACAGTTTGTGAATATTATTAATTTCTTTTTTTCAGTTTCTCACATCAAAAATTTTTTGTTTCTGATTTTTGCCTCTTCAGACCATTTTCAATAAACAAAAACATTCTTGTCATAATTCTGCCTTTTAACTCAAAACGTCACATGCAGCAATGAATTCTGGGTAATAGTCTGCCTGAAAGGGCTTGACATTAGGCGGAAATAAGATCCAAAAGGATCTTATTTCCTAAAACAGGAAATGGAGAACTGGGACTCTCCAACATGATCCCACATCAGGGAGGACTGGGCCGGGCCTCCAGGAGGAGAAACAGGTGGGGGAGGGGAGCTTCGGTCGGCATCATCCCTCTAACTTCCGTGAGGAGGAAGAGGGATGAAGATGATCCTTCACAGATCTGTCTCTCTCACGTTGCAGACAAAGAGGTCAAAGGTCACAGAGGAGCAACCCTGCAGCCTGGATCATAAGCAGAACCTTTACTGAGTGAACTTTTCTTCCTAAAGTTCAACATGCATGAGAAACAGAAAGGCAGATGAACTTGAGTCTGATAGGAAAAGTTCACAAAATAATTCAGATTTTTGTAAAAGACTGAAATCTTTTTATATCTGATTATTACGGTAATCAGAATAATATTCTGGATTTATTCATTCACACTGAGAGAACAAAAAGCATTTTTCAGGTTTTCTGACAATAGTGGGAAGATTTGGGAATAAAATGTCTCAAACTTTTTTAACTGGATTAGTTTTGTTTTGAAGTCTGATTCATAAGTGGCATCATAATCAAATATAACGTGATCTCTAAATAGTTTCCAATAAGGTTAAACTTCAACTTTGTCGTTTTTGTCAGCCTGAACTAAATCACTTTTCTATGACTTAGTTCTGTTTTAACCCTCTTATTTGTTTTTAACAGAAATGCTTTCAGGTTTTTTTTTTTAAGAAGTAAATAGTTTGGAAACAGATTAAAATCAACTTGGTGCTGTGGTGGTGCAGCGGGTCAGCACGCCCCACGTGTGGAAGCCTCAGTCCTCATACGCGGACGTCACGGGTTCGATTCCAGGTCCAGGCGATCTTTGCTGCATGTCTTCTCCTCTTTCCTGTCTGTCTACTTTAAAAAATACGAGCGCCGCAAAAACTCTTCTGAGAAAAGAGATAAAAATTGGACTTGAAAGATTTAAGGTGTATTTGAGTTCAGGCGGTAGAGTAGAAATGTTCTCCTGTCTTTCCCTTTATGATTACTGATGTCAGATTTATGGATCACGATCCATCGAAGAGAACTTTCCATTCTGATTTACTTGAAGAACAAATAAATGTGAACAACGCTTCAAGATTTGCATAATTATGTTAATGGATCGGATTATAATTAAACCTGTGGAGAATCCAACCAATCAGGGCCTGAAAAATGTCTTTGGCTTCTGGGACAAACAAACGGCTGACTGACAACAGAGGGCAGAACTTTATTTTACAAGATAAATATGGAAAACAAAAAGTGCTGACCAGTTTAAATAAAACCTCCACCGCACCCGAACCAGATTGCAACCGGATCAGAACCTCGCCGGTGGAGACGCTGCAGAGGATAATCTGGAGCACGTTATGGTTCTCTGAACCATAAATGGATCAGAACTAACTATTAAAAACGAATAAAAACGTTTCTGAGCGAGGAAAACGTCCGGCTGCTCTTTCTAGGCACTGAAGAAGAAGCAGCTGCGTCCCAACATAAGGCTTTGAAAGCAGAAAAGAAACTGAACTAAACCCCACAGAAGAGAAACGGGAGGAATAAACCTGTTAGTGTTTCAGCATCTGGTCTATAATGAACCAGCTGAGCTCATCACCAGAAACATATTTCACAACATTTGCATCCAGATTCCTGTGAGTGGAGTGAAGAGGAGACTGATGAAGCCAGTAGGTAAAGCTGATGCTATTCCTGGCTGCTGTGGTTTATTTTTAGGCCAGAGGAGGAAAATCAATAAACTCATTAAGTTCTCCCAGCAGGAACAGTTCAATCCAAACATTTAGCTGCTGCCGTCCTGCTCCTCCATGCAGTAGCGCCTTCAGTTCCTCAGAGCTGCCAACCTGCAAACAAACATTTCACACATCAGCTGCATTTCAGCAAACTGACAGCAGAAAAACATGCAGCAAAAATCCAGACAAACTGAGCTCAGTTCAAATCATTAGAGCAGTTTCAATAAAAAGTTCAACAGGTTCCTGCTGCTCAACATACAGTGTGATAAAAACAAACAGAAAAGTTGGAATATTAATGAATTACTATCAGAAAAATAAACCCTGCCAGGTCTGAAGTCTAATTGTTTTCTGCTTCTCAGGAAACGTTTGTTTCTTCCTTCTGGATCACAGGAGTCAAACTCCGGACCTGGAGGGCCTGTGTCCTGAAACTTCTAGATGAGCCTCTGCTGCAGCACCTGAACAGAACAATGAGATCTTTAAGGCTCTGGAGAACCGATCCACACGAGGAGGAGGTCATGAAGCCGTTTCATTCCAGTGTTTTGGACCTGTGGCTCATCTAAAACCTGCAGGACGGCCAGCGGCCCTGGAGGACTGCTGACTGTTGCCCTCTGCAAGCAGCTTTTAGGGAAAGCTACAACAAGCTTTATTCACAGAATGAAGATCGCTGGAAAGTTTAGTGGAGGAAGAGCTGTGTGATGAAAAGATTCTAAAGCAGCAGGGCTCACTGCAGCCCATAGAAGCGGAACCAGTTGAACAGCTTGGAGGAAGTCCAGAGGGTTTGGTTCAGAACATCAGCTCCAACCTTCACAGAACCACTCCAGACCTGAGAGTAACAAGAAAAGGACTGGATCCAAAGTTTTCATTTGAAAATATGTGTCCATGAATCTGGCTTTGGAAGGCTAAAGTTTCTAATCAGTGAAGGTCTGAGGAGCCTGTTGGTTCTGGTTTGGTTCTATCTGGTCCAGATCCAGAACAGCATCTGCCAGGACATTTCAGAGCGTTTACTTTTCAAGTTTTCTGGAAAAAAGAATTTTTTATTGGTTTAATGTAAAATTAATTTTGGGTTAATATAAACTATAAACCAAAATTTACTGAAATAAATGAACTTTTCAATGATATTATACTTTATGTAACAGCTGCATAATTTCTCAGATTCCCAGAATAATTTTCTGTTTCGCAGATTTGAGGAAATACTTTAAAGTTATTCTAGATTTAGTTATTTAGTTACTGGAAATCTCGCTCAGATACTTCACTGTGTTGAACCACGCCGCCCTCTGGTGGTCTGAAATATTCCTCAGACTGAAGTCTGAACCCGAAGCTTCACCTCAGATCCAGAGGTTGAACCCAAACATCTGCTGGAAATTACAACGGCTCCCTGTTAATCCAGATTATAATCTCCTATTCTCACAGATAAAGAATCAGCTCTAGTAGAGATCTGATTGATCCAGAGGTTCCTAGCAGAACCTTTTAGTACCAGACTGCAGTTTCAAGAGGAGGGTCCTTTAGCATTCAGACGCCCTGAATGTTTCTGGCTGAACTTTTTCATTTCGTAATGTTTCTGATTTCTGGCCTGGATGTTCCTGCTGATCCTATAGACGCCAAAAAGTCCAGAGATCAGAGGAAAGATCCAGTGGACAGAAAAGAGCCAGAATGAAGCGGATGGAGAATAATTGTGTGTAAAGGTGACTTTGGGATATTTTTACTTCAACTCCAGGAGACTCTTATTCATTTTAGGAAAGAATAAGCTCACTGTTACACTCTGGCTTCTCTTCTCTCATATATTATTAGATATCATTATACATCAGCACTGACATTTCTACACACCCTCCAGTAGAAAAACTTTATTGTAATTTTCAAACAATATTGAATGATGATTCTTTTGTCCAGCAGAGAGAGATTTAGTGTTCACATGATTCACCACAGGTTAGTTCTGCTGCCGCAATGATGCCACTAAGATAAAGTCTAAAGAATGACCAAGGTGCTTTCTCAACATTTTGTACCGACTGAACTGAGTCACCAATAAACAACTCTAAATAGTTTTCTGTCCTATTTCAGTTCATCCAATCTGATTTAATTCTCTGTTTCTGACCTGCTCTGATGTTTTCTTTGGATAATCTTCACTCTGATCCTGGTTAAAACCTTCCAGGTTGCTAAGCCTTACTCAAACCGGAGAAAGATTTCTAGTCAAGGAGTTGTTCTTTTTTAATGTAATTAAAGCCATTATTAATCTGCATTTCTTTGTAAATGCTTTGATTAATTTAGACACAACTTTGTTTTAATGCGTCTGTGTTCATTGGTTTTCTTCCTTTACGTGGGTTTAGATTTTTGTGTTTTTAAGATTTGGTTTCCGCCAGGCCTCACCAGGTGTTTCATCTCAAACAAATCTACCTGGTCCGGCATGTGACCCTTACCGCCGAGACAGCTGGTCCTCCTTCTCCTGGCTCCGGGAACTCTCTCCACCCAGTGACGTCGCTCCAGCAGGAAGCTGATTCAGCTGGTCCATCACCTCCAGGCCGCCCTCTTCTGCTATTTGGTGGATGAGGTCGTCCACCTGTTCCTGGGGCGTGGTCAGTGTCATGGCTGAGCTCATGGAGTCCTCCATCACCTGGTGTAGGTAGGAGCAGGTGAGGTTAGGGAGGGAGTTTCTGAAGCATGAGAGCAGACAGAGGCTCTGCAGCGACTCACTGAGGTGTGGACGTCAAGGTTCTGAACCTGGCTCTCAAACTTATCCATTACTGCGGAAACCTTCTGCAGATCCATGGAGTTCAGAGCCTTATCCAGGGCTTTGGTCACCTGGCCCATGCTTTTAGTCACCTAGACCAGGAAATCACATCAATGTATGATAAACTTGAATCAAAAATAGAAAATGAAGCATCAAATTCTAGACTTCTGGGGGAAACAGAAGTTGAGGTGATCCAATTGGTGAGACTCACTCCCTTCATGGTGACGGCAGTCTGGACTTTAGAGGCCACCGCATCAACTCGGGACGCCATGCGCAGCCAGTTCACACCTTCGTTCTTTTTCCTGATGGCGTTCTCAGCATAAACTCGAGCACATTCAACATTTTTCTGCTGCAAAGCCTGTTGAGAATAAATTCAACTATTTCTGTTTTGTAATTAAATCGTCTCTTTAAGAAACACAACAGCACTGAGAGCTGTTTGGTCTCTCAGGTAATTATAAGCATTTTCTACAAATAAGACTCATTAAGACCTCTACCAATCCAGAGGTGAAGACATGCTTAACTTCAGTGAACAAAACTAAATAATGTTGCTTACTCCCAATTAAGGTAACAGATCAGCGGCCATTTTGGTGCCAGATAAAACCTTCCTCTGACTGGCATGAAGGACCAGGTGAGACAGGTGAGTTTCATGAATACATGTTAGAGAAAATGCTGAGTCATCTTCTACTGACTATTCATCAAGGTAGTCTGACCACTTTGAGAATGTGAGGAGAAAAAGTGCAGCACCAGATTTCCACCTGAAGGATGATCATATCCATCTTCAAGATGTGATTATGGGCTCCAGAAGAATGATGAACAAAAATATATAGAAATGCTGAACAAACCTTCAAGAATTCGTCATCTGACTTTACATCACATCTGCACAGATCAAACTGCACGACGCAGTGCCACAACGGCTGACCTTGGACTTCTTCCATGAACACCAGATTTATAAAGTTCAAGACTAATAGATGGTTCCACCCGAGCTGTGGATCTCTGTAGCTCCTCAAGAGCAGTTGAGGTGCTTTTGGCTTCTTCTCAGAACAGCTACTTTTATACTAATACCAAATTGCTGAGAAGTGGACTCTGTTTAGGTGAGGTCTAGAAGCAGTCACTGGATTTTATTTAGGGCACATGTGTCAAACTCAAGGCCCGGGGGCCAAATCCGGCCCGCCGTAGCTTTTTATGTGGCCCTCCACAGACTACACTAAACACTAAGTGTGATTAAATATTATTTATCAATCATATCAATGCAGTTTTTATCTGTTTACTGCCAATTTATATCAATCAATCCCTCCAGTTTCTTGAGAATTTAGTTGATGTATGATTATAGTCCATGATTTATACAGCGAGTAAATAAACAGTGACATTTATTATAAGTTCCTGAAGGGAAATCTTCAATAATATTATGTAATTTTAAGAATTCATTGACATATTAACAGTTTGTGAACAGGTTCTGGCACAACCGGCCCTTTAAGAGCATTCATGATCTTGATTTGGCCCAAAACGAAAATGAGTTTGACACACCTGATTTAGGGTCTTCATAAGTCAGGGGTTTTAGAGCACCATTAATCAGTTCTGTTCTCTGACCAACCTCCCAGCAGGTTAGGCTGTGAAAGACCCTCTGCTCCATCTTCAGCTCATCCTAGGACTCCAGAGCTGAGCAGATTTTGATCTTCGCCTCACCCAATCTTTGCATTTCAATGCGTTAAATACGACAAACAAGTTGGACTTTCTGTACGGCACTTTAAAATCTAATTGTTCACTGAACTCCAAATTCTGCCGATTAGAAATATTCCAACCCAAAATTGGATCAAGTCATTTTGTTCTCGTCTGTTTGTTATTTGTTGATCCATCATCTCAAGCCTTTCCAGCATGTTTCATCCAACATAGAGATGTGACAATACAAATGCAGAAAGAGAATAAGTAAGCAGAATAAAATCTGGATCGTCCTGAACTACAATGAGCATCAAACCGGCTTCTAATCCTCACCTTCTTGACTTTGGCCTGCTCCTTTTCTGATTCCTTTTCTGCCTTCTTTGCCAGTCTCTCAAGCTGCTTCGATGTAAACTGTGAGAAAAAAGGAAAAAGTGTCAATTGTATAAACTTTTAGCTTGTATAGACAATACAGATCAAATATGATCTCGGGACTTACCCTCAGCTGAAAGAGTGTTTCTGGAGAAAGAGAGTCGAGAGCATTAAAAAGAATGAGAGCAAACTTCACAATATTGCTTTTGAGACCATAGATACAGTTCGAATAATGCTTTTGTTAATTGAAAACATTACAAATATCAATTCATAAACAGATTCACTGCAAATACTAAAAATATTAAATTTCATTGTTATAAAGCATTCATCAAACAGCATCTCAGTATTTCAGAAAATTGCTCTTCCAACCAATTACTGAACAAACCTGCTGGAATTCATCATCTGACTTTAAATCACATCTGCGCAGATGAAACTGCACCAACGCAGTGCAACAACGACTGACCCTGGACTTCTTCCATGAACACCAGATTTAAGTCCTCTTAGTCTTATTTAAAAAAACAAACTGGAGTTTTATTTTCAGGTTTTCATTAACATCTACATCTAAATAACAATAAAGTAATTATACTGACTAATGGTACAGAATTGAATAATTTTTTTTCTTCATTTTATTGATGCATGATAATAACATTTTATCACAATTATATAGCGTATTTCATAAAACAGAACTTAAAAACAAATGACCTGAAAAGACAAATAAACAATGTGATGTTATGATGGCCTGCCAGCATAATTCATAAAGCTAACAAAGTCATATATTAATGTCGCCTTTAAATTGGACAGGTTCATGGCCAAAATCCTCTTAAGGCACTTTATTAAAAATGTCTGGTTTCTAAGGTCAATAATAATAAATGAACTGTTCAAAAGACCCCTTAAATAAGCTAAGTTTGTTAACTACTACTGTTCGTAGTGATTTCTGTTCAGCGTTACTTTTGCCACTTAGGGCATACCGGAGTTGGGGGCGGCGATGACGTCATCACATCGCCGTAAGAAAGAGAACCGTTCCTGATATCAGAGGGGGAGGTGGGGTAACAGAGCCACTGCTAATACGTGAGAGGGGCAGAATATGTGTGATCGCCTTATAAGTGTGCGTTAGTGACAAGTAAGTTATTATATTTGATTGTTTGCTGAAGTTAAATGAATGATTCGGAGTTTATTTGTTAACCGTTATTTACCGTTAGGTCCGAGCTATCGACTATATGTGTGTTGTAGAGCGCTGAGCGATGTACTTGACAGGCGCACAGGCATTGATATTAATTCATTTGTTTTAGTTCACTTATGAATAGTAATTCTGATGTTAAGCTTGTTTAGGCTTTATTTATTTCCTTCTTAGTTTATCTAAGGTGTAATAGTAATGTGTAATGATAGAACACCTGAAACTTATTTCTGTATTTCTGTTTATTCTAGGAGACCACACACACACCTACACACATACCTGAAGCACTCACCCACACCCACCAAATATACCTTGATGCCAATTACTGTTGTTGGACTAAGATCTGTGACCCAACTTGAATACAGAAAGTAAAAGGGATCCTGCCTCATGTATTCCTTCTTCCACCTGCTGCCCCACATCTGGTCCTGAACTGAATCCAATAGAAGTAGTGTTCTGACCGACACTCCAGGTTGAGAGCAATGACAAACCTGAACAGTGCCTTTAAACCGTCCTACAAATTAAGAGCAGCCTCAGCTACATGAACATAGATTATGATGCAATATTTTTGCCAAGACGTTTTAAAATGATCAAATTTTAATGACAAAAAAATTTGTTTCTGGAAGTTTTAGTTTGTACAGGTGAAAAGTTCAGGAAGTTTCTGCTTAGTTATTAGCCAGTAATGTGAATCCAGCTGGAATCTGATCTAATGATCAGATTCACTTCAAGTCGAAGCTCAACATGAAGAAAACAACAACAAACCGCATCCGCGCCCAGGCTAGCAGTAGCTGCCGGTGATCAGCTTAAAAACAGACCAATCCCATCAACACAGAGTCTTAATCTCTCAGAACAAAACCCACCTTCCATCTCGACACGAACACGATGCCTGACAATTACAGAAAGTAACGCTCTGACGGTTCTTTGGCGGTTCTGAGCCTGTTCAGGTTAAAATAAGCCCCTTCTTCCTGGTTCCACTGCCGTCTTCTTCCGCCTCCTTTCTTCTTCTCTGGATGAAAAGCGAAAACGTCAAGGTATGTTATCGCCCCCTATTGGGCTGAGGTGGAAACACTCGACAACCAGACGACTAGGAAAATGCAGAGGAGCTCAATATTTTCACACTTGATCTCTAAGCCATATTAAAATGTTAATGTGTTCTCCATTTGATTATGATGAAGTCCATGTTAAATAATGACACTTTAAATTTCTGCAAATAAAGGATTCAATGTCTCGCCTCGGTGGGGGGCCTACTACACAAGACAACAGAAGTTAAATGCTCACAATCAGACTGAACAATGATTTATGCTGTTATCAGAGCATAAATCTTTTTATCCTTTTTCTGGACTTTTGTAAAGCTTTTGACAACACTGAACATAATGTCATATTTCACACCTGGTTTTGGTTCTTACTCTAGCAGTGCTATCAGAACAATGTCACTAATGGAAATTAGATGCAATGCTGGTCCTTCACTTGGTTTTATTCTCAAAGGAGGAGTCGGGCAGCGACGTCTCATATCGCCTCATCTGCACTCAGTTACTTACAGATTATTAATTAATCTCAGCAAACTAAAAAGTATTGCAGTAGTGGGATGAGAAATTATCATCAGCCTGATAATTATTTCTAAAAGAAACTCTTCTGAGATACATCTGATTGACGAGATTAACCCTTTCTCTGCTGCATCTGGACTTTTCCTAATCTAAAAAATGTGAAGCAGTTGCTCTTAAATATTGTTACATTTCTGCTACTTGTAGCATACCTGTAAAATAATCTATTGGTTACTCAGGAATGATCATGAGAAACAGATTCCAGATGTTATCTGAACTTTAGTGGCAGCAGAGATTTAAGATTCAAATTGTATTCACCATGCAGAGCATAAGACTTCATGTCTTATGCTGCTTTATCTCTGAATGGAAACAAAAAGTTGTCACAAGATGCTATTTAATTTCATGTGGAAAAACAAAAATAGATTAAAAAACTCAGTAATTATGCAGCCTCAACTTTTTAGACCTTTCCCTTTAAATAATACATTTAAAAGGAATGAGCTAAAACAATTTGTTTTCAGTCTGAAACTTTATATCAATCTGTAAAGATTTGATTTTTTCTGTGTTTATTTTGGATTCTGTCAGTTGAGTTTTTGTGTTTTCTTGTCTATCCTTGATTGATCCCGACTCTTTCCAGTTCCCTTCATTTCCTCCTGTGTATTTATACCCAACCTGTGTTTCTAGTTCTCTGTTCAGTCTAAACTCTCTCGTTTTCTCGTGTCGCTGTCGGCCGATTACTGTTCACCACTTGCTACCAGAAATGAGCTCATAGCTTTTTCTCCTCTGTGCTGCCAGGATTTTTATCCTCTTTTCATCATTAAGCTTTATCATCACCATCTTCGCCCCGCTTTATGACACAAACAGTTTTTTTCTAATTTTATTTTGTTTTGCAATTATAATGTTAAAAAATGTCCTCAAAATAATGCAGTTTTCATAAACAGGTATTTCTTTCTTGATCATTGATTTACAAGTGTAATTTCTTTCTCCACAGGTATTACATCATAAGGCATTGAAAAATAGATCCTTATTGTACTCCCCTTGCATATTGTTCAACATGATTGGACACTGATATCTTTTTTTATGAATGTCATGCACAGTGTTCTAATATAATAAAATTTGTAATTTATTATCAAATAAATGTTTTTTTAATTCTAAATATTTGTTGGTCTGTTTCATTTGATTAGATTTTGATCTGAGTTGAAACTTGGCTTGTTTGGAGAGCCCCATTTAAAATGACAGTCCTATACTGCCATCTAGTGGAGGGTTGGGGACATAAGACGAAAACCACTTTCACATTTCAGCAAATAAACTAAACTAAAAGAGGTAGAGAGACAATCTTGGTAAGGAGAATATGTTGCTCATTCCCTTGACATAGCTGCCATTGACCTCCATTTATTTCAAGAATGAACAACTCCAAAATTATAAGTTGTTTTTACAAAACTTGGCTTCTCTGCTCCCTCCAACCCTCTGCAGATGCCTACCACGTTTGGCGGTCCGAGCCTACTCCAAAGACTCCTATTCATTTTTCTACCTGTCAGTATAGCTGGGAACGTCCTATCAAACTGTGATGTGGCCCAAACCACAGTGGCCTTTTACTTTAACTTCACCAGATTTGATCCCAATTTGATTTATTTTGAGCTTTGTTTTGTTAATAAATCCCACTTTTAAAATGCCATCTCTGAGCCTTTGTTGGATGAAGGACTCGCTGCTCTGAAGACGAACTTTGGTTTTAAGCATCTACTCTTAACCATGTTTTATTTTATTTTATTTCTATTCAAACTCTGTTTTTGAGACAGAAATCACAGCTGAGCTTCAAACCTCATCTCTGAGCTTCTGCTATGTGCCAGAAATGTGTTTTAACGACGTTCTGAACATCATAAATTTACTTAAAAATGTCTGTCTGGATTTCCCAGAATGCATTGTTTGGTGGTGCTTCATATTTTAACTTCTATATTCTCTGTTTTTACTGCACTATCTAACAAACCCTATAAATTATGATCAGAATGAGCTTTCATCTCAAACTAGATGGCTTATAATGACTTGGAAACATGTATAAAATTAGGACCATGACTCATAATGGGTTGTGCGTTGTTAAACTGTTTTTTTTTTTTATTTTTATTTTTTTTTTTTGCCTTACCAGGGGCACGGCTCTACTGGGCGTATGGCTGCTCGGCTTAGTCCGTGGGAGGGGGCTTAAGTGTGGGTCCGCAGGTTCGGATGGAGGGCCTGGTTCTAAGAGAGGCTGGATTGGTGGTTCTGTGTTACCCGGGGGTGTGGATGCACGGCTGGGGTAAGTGGTTGTGATGGAGAGCCTGGTTGTATGAGAGGCTGTGTTGGTGGTTCTCTGTTACCCGGGATTGTGGAGCCACGGCTGGGGTGAGTAGCTCCGCAGCAGGCCCTGGTTGTATGAGAGGCTGCGGTCCCGGTTCTCTGTTACCCGGGGATGTGGAGCCACTGCTGGGGTAAGTGGTTCGGATGGAGGGCCTGGTTCTCAGAGAGGCTGCCGTCCCGGTTCTGTTACCCGGGGCTCCGGTCCCCTGTCCCGGGTAGAATTAAAAACACTTTACCGATTCCTGGTTCTCACTGGGTGAGCTCCAGGCCTGGTCCTAAGAGAGGCTGCTCTTCCAGTTCAGTTACCCGGGGCTCTGGTCCCCTGTCCCGGGTAGAATTAAAAACACTTTACCAATTCCTGGTTCTCACTGGGTGAGCTCCAGGCCTGGTCCTAAGAGAGGCTGCTCTTCCAGTTCAGTTACCCGGGGCTCTGGTCCCCTGTCCCGGGTAGAATTAAAAACACTTTACCGATTCCTGGTTCTCACTCGGTGAGCTCCAGGCCTGGTTCTCAGAGAGGCTGCTCTCCCAGTTCAGTTACCCGGGGCTCTGGTCCCCTGTCCCGGGTAGAATTAAAAACACTTTACCGATTCCTGGTTCTCAGAGAGGCTGCTGTCCCCGTTCTGTTACCCGGGGCTCTGGTCCCCTGTCCCGGGTAGAATTAAAAACACTTTACCGATTCCTGGTTCTCAGAGAGGCTGCTGTCCCCGTTCTGTTACCCGGGGCTCTGGTCCCCTTTCCCGGGTAGAATTAAAAACACTTTAACGATTCCTGGTTCTCAGAGAGGCTGCAGTCCCGGTTCTCTGTTACCCGGGGATGTGGAGCCATAGCTGGGATGAGCATCTATCGGCGGCACGGTCAAATTCAACTTCCGATAAAACGGGTAAAAATGAGTTCCCCCCCAGGAAAGCTATATATCACCGGAAAGCCTGCGGCCTGGACAACAATTCGGCGCGGGTCTCTGATTTTTATACCGTTTCCCCGATTTTTAAGCCGCGAAAGAGCGCCTTTTTTCCGGTCGGTCAACTTCAACTTCCGATTAAACGGGTAAAAAGGAGTCCCCCCCCAGGAAAGTTGTATATCACCGGAAAGCCTGCGGCCAGGACAACAATTCGGCGTGGGTCTCCGATTTTTAAACGGTTTCCCCGGAGCGGGGGAAGCGGCGGAAGTCGCGCCGGGAAAAGGCCGGAAAAACGGTCAAAAACCAATAAATGCGGGAAAAACGCACCGCTGGCCGACAGCCCGTGTTCCGGAGGACAGCCCTGTGCGGTCGAATGATTTTTAGCACGCTCACAGGAGCCGGGATAAATGAAAAATGGGTTTCCGGGCATACAAAAGCATTGCCCTCCCTTGACACCCGCTTAAGCCCCGCCCAATCGGGGAAAATAGCACTTCCAGCTCACAGAAAGACAAAACCCCGCCGGCAGGATTTCAGGAGAGAGTTTTTGAAGAGCACTCGGACACAAAAAGAAGCGGATTTTCGGCCGTGGACCCCTCCAGGGGCCCTCGCAGGCCTCACGTATGCGAGCGTACCAGTGATTTTCGGGGTTTTCGGCCGTTTTTGAGCGTTTTTCCCCGCTTCTGGTTCTACGGCTCCCTGAGCTCTCTGCCTCCACGGATCTCCCTGCCGCTCGGCTGGCGGGCTCCGGCCGCTCTGGTGAGTCCGTCCTGGGCTGTAATTAGTCCGTGGACGGCTCCCCGTTCTGCTGGAGCTCCGTTAAAGTTTCCCCGGGGTCCGGCTTCAGCCGAGCCGACCTCGGTGCACCGTGAGCGGATTACGGTCCGTCCCACGTGCCCGTCGGAAGTCTGGCTCCCAGCCCGCGTCTCCGACCCGACCGATAAGCACACGTGGCCTGCCGTGGAGGGCCCCCGCCTGCCCCGGTGCCCGGCACCGGCGCTTCGGCGGACGGTTCCTCCAGCCCCGCAGGCTCGCCTCCAGGCCCGGGCGCGAACGCAGCCGAGCTGCGCGTCTGCCCGCGGCCGTCCCTCCTCAGCGAGACCCAGACGCCCCGTCTCTCCCAGCGGTCCTCCGCTGGGGCCCCGCTGCGGGGGTCCGGTCCCGGCTCGGGACCGTCTCCCTCCGTCCTTCTCCCCCCGCTTCTGCGGCGGCGGCTCCAGACGTCACCGTTT